TCCAAATGCAGCAAACTGACGGAAAGTGACCGGCTTTTTCCATCAAGTGACCGGCTTTTTACATCTGAACTTTGCGCGCCGTGAGGAGCAGGCTGAGCAAACGGTAGATCCACCGTCAGCTTTGCAATCGAACATGCCCTCCTTGCGGAAGCTCGTGAAGCCCACGGATTGGGAGCAAATGCGCTCAAACGTGGAGAGGTATGTCGATAAGGCTTTACGAGATCCCACCAATCCCCCCAAGACTTTGAGGAATGTGAGCGTCAAGCTCCCGGGTCACGGTAAATGGCTGGTAGTCGATGAAGTTACTATGCGCCTGATCGACAGATCCAAGAAGGTTTGGTTGCTCTTGCAAGGATTCCGACCAGAGAAAACACGACGATTGCCTTCCTTGGATGGAATTTTCGAGGGCATTCGCGAACGTCGGAGGCCTGCAACCTGACATGCTGGGTAGGGATGCAAATTTTCCACCACAGCTGCAAAGTGTACAGTGTAGAGCAACCTGCCCTTGCACACAGAAACGCAGAAAAACTGTATCCACAGCTGCCAGCTCTGGTTGACGCAACCACACCCTTAAAGCCGCCCCCTTTGGAATCAGCTAGTGGTTCGCAGCAGAAATCGGATGGATGAGCTTCCACCCCACACTGAATTCATGGATTGTCAGATCCGGTCGGTATCAGCTAGGTCTTGGATTTCGGCGGCCACTGCCGGCCACGGCCTTGGGGTTCGATGTCCGATCTTTCACCAATTCCTAAATACACAGATAGAACTCTTGGATTGGATTGTTCAATCAATTCACCATGATCGACGTTCAATCAATTCCAAGTCTTGGGACTTGTGACGAAGTGTGCCTAGACTTCGACTAACGACTTCGAAGGAAGCAATTTCTATCAATTTCTTCGTTAGTCATTCCGAGCTGGCTTTTGTGCATCACTATAGTTATTGCATGGTCCGTTGTTCATGGCGCGGGTCATGGCGTCATTTAGAACCTTGCAAGCATCATAAAGCCATACATGTTTTGAATGTATATCACCACAATCCTGCTGCTTTGTATTCACACGCAAATTGATGGACGCCTTCAGCACAGTGGTTCTCGTCGCGCTTGGCTGGTGCCGGGTGCACTTCCTCTTGACTGATGCGGACTGGGCATGGCTGCGGAACTGGCAGCTGCAGGTGGAGTTGGTTCCACGAAGCTCCAAAGCTCCAGGGTTGACCCCCAGACTCTCAGACCCACCCTGGGATGGGAGTCCAAGAAAAGAACAGCATTTGATGAACAAAAGTACATCGTGACAAAGAATGTCAAACAAACGCTGTACAGTAATGTACTGTATACTGAAAACATAATCACAAACATAGGCAAACCATTGCAAAACTATAAGGCAAACTGAGGCAAAATGCAAAGTTTGATGGAGGGAAGATAGATACTTTGATGAGTTGTACTTCATTGAAGGAAAGCTCTCATGCTGAAGGATACGACTCGCCTTCTCGTCTTTGCAAGAAAGGAACGTTTTGGATGACAAGAGCAAATTTGCCTGAAGGAGGGGTTCAACCAAGGAGAAAGAGAACTGTTCAACCAAGGAGAAAGGAGGGTTTGGAAAAGAAGGATGAGGGTTCAAAGTGTTGTAAACAATAAATTCTGGTGGAACGGATATGATTTTGTCGGAATGACAACTCTTCAAAGAAGAACCAGTATCCAATTATACACAAACTGTAGCTACATGTTTTTTGCGTCAAAAACATGTGTTGACCTAGGCTTGGGGGGCGCGCAGTGCAGAACGGAACTATGCTTATGCTATGTTAGCAGCATGTTGGAGCAATCATAGGAGATTAGGAAAAGGATGGGTTGAGCTCCTAGACACAAACTGGGTGTTGAACACAGCGGATCGTGTTTTTACACAAAGGGTTGTTTAATACATAATTGTGTTGCTTCGTATATGTATAGTAGTATATTATATAACATATATATATATATGTATATGCAGGATGATCAATTTCGTTAAGGCGGAGAAACCTTGCACAAAGAAAAGTTACGTCAAACGACAGGACAACACTATCAAATATAGAGGATTTTGTATTCACACAGGAGTAGGCGATTTGTTGTTCAATGAAAACCCTGCCCAAGAAAGGAATGTTGGGAAAGTAAAAACGTGGGAAGAAAGGGTTTTATGAATGATGACACTTGTTGGTGTTGCAGAAAACTCTTTGATGGAGAATACTGGTTTCAAGCAGAATGCTCAGTGCAACACATGATTTTGACTCGAAGGGGAAAACTGTGTGCATTGCAAAGTGCAGCCAAAGATACAAGTAGCAATTGCTTTATGCTTTGGCATGAACATGTTGTGCACCATTGTTGTTTTTTTTCCCCAGATAGCGAAGCTATGGGGTTCTTACTTCAAATAACAATGAGTTGCCCGCGCGCGCTTTCGAGACAGGTTGCTGGTGCTGGGTGCCGGTGCTGGTGCTGGTGCTGTGAGCTGGCTGTGCATGTGGTGGAGACAGGTTGCTGGTGCTGGTGCCGGTGCTGTAAGCTGGCTGTGCACGTGGTGGAGACAGGTTGCTGGTGCTGGTGCCGAGTGCCGGTGCTGGTGCTGTGAGCTGGCTGTGCATGTGGTGGAGGCAGGTTGCTGGTGCTGGTGCTGGTGCCGGGTGCCGGTGCTGTGAGCTGGCTGTGCATGTGGTGGAGGCAGGTTGCTGGTGCTGGTGCCGGGTGCCGGTGCTGGTGCGTGAGCTGGGTGTGCATGTGGTGGAGACAGGTTGCTGGTGCTGGTCCGGGTGCCGGTGCTGGTGGTGGTGCTGTGAGCTGGCTGTGCACGTGGTGGGGGCAGGTCTCTGGTGCTGGATGCACGCAACATCATACGGTGTTGTCGCTCGAGCGTTCTTTGTCTATTATATAGCGCTGTGGGGTATTTACAGTTCTGTTTTGGCCGGCAGCTGTGTCAAGGGCTGTACTGTTTGCGCGCATACTTTTCTACGTATAATGTTCTATGCGCAACGTCAGGCTCTCAACCGACCATTGTTCCAGCACGTTTCAGCATGCTACACACACAATAGTCGTGCTGGATACTGCTTGGCCTTGGGCGAGTGAAGCCTACGGGCTGTGCCGTTTGTGCGCATACTTTTGTGCGCATAAACTTTTACGCGCAAGGTCATACGGCCTTATCGTCCTGCAGATCGTTGCTTCAAGCATGCGACAAAGTCAATAGTGGCGCTGGATACTGCTTGGCCTTGGGCCAATGACACGGACTTTGCTGTTTGCACGCATACTTTTGTGTGCATAAACATCTATGCGCAAGATCATACGTTGTTATTCCCCAAATAGGGATATTTATGGGGTTCTTGCTGCAAATAAGAATGAGCTGGCTGCGCTTTCGAAAGGGTGTCGGTGCTGGTGCTGGTGTTGTGGTCCTGGGTGCTGGTGCTGTGAGGCTGAGCGTGCGTTTAAGACGGGGAGGTGCCATAAGCTGGCCGTGCAGGCTGCGTACATTCTTGCTCCAGCCAGTCGCATGTCAACAGGTCGTGGGATTCTGCCTAGCTATTTGGGTCTATGCTGGTGTAATTTTCTCAGAAATAAAGAAACAACAGAAGCAACTGCAGCTGAAATTTAGTTTTCTATTTATAGACACCTCTCCCAAAGCTAGGTATTGAACTTTTACAGACAGAAACGAAGCCATTGCAGCTGGTTGTCACTCAAAACCACTGTGTTTTGCAGTGTGTTCTTCACACAGCACACTCCAACACCTGTCCAACAAGTAGCTCAAAAACTGGGTGTTTGAGCTAGTTGTTTGCAAGACCATACTCTAAATCCAAGTGTATTTAAGCTGAAACATCATCTCTGCAGAGCACCCTCAAATGACTAGCAGATCGATGTGGCTGAAGTTGTTGAAGGTACTTTCACCAATGTGTGCCGCGGACAGTTAACACCTACTTACTTTTACTTAGCATGTTCAGACCCAGGTGTTTGGTCTGAAGCTGGCTAATCCTTGGTTGGTGGACAATGACTCTGGCGTGACCCAAACAAAGCAGCATCCTTATGATCCATGTTTGAACCGTCTCTCTTCTACTAAAAACTGGGGCAAGACGATTTAGTGGTCTCAGCCTTGCTGGTTATGTTTGATTTCCTTGTCGAGGCCAGACAAAGAGAGCAGGGTTGAAGAAGAGATGCTGAAGCTTCGATTGAAACACTACCAGTGGCTCAGCCGTTCGTTGTCTCACCTTTGCTTTGTGCTAGCCCTTTGGCAACTCCAGGAAGCTCTGCAAGCACCAGGGCCAGGTACCATCGTTTGGGTCATGTGTGGCACCGCAGCCTATTTGCAGCACTTGCTGATTGGAACCAAATTGGTTGATTGTACACCTTGGAGATTGAAGTCTTTGTGTTACTTGATGCATATCATCACATTTCTCGTGCTTCTCGCAACGTTTGGAGCACCTAATGCGTCCAAGTTCACTTTGCTCCAAAGCTTTGCCGTAACGTGTCGCTTCCTACTTGTTTTGGCATTCTTGGACCCCTGGATTTCAATCCCCTTTCAATTGCTTTACACTACAGCCGATGTCCTGGTCCACCTCATGGTGCATCAAGAGGACGGTGTAGATTTGCAGACCTTGTGTTTCACCCAGTTCTTTGTTTTCGGCATCAGCATTACCTCTTCTGTGTTCATCGACATGGCACTGCGCGGGCGTATTTATGCGCAGTTGGATTCCGCCGATGCGGAGTCTTTGGTTTCCGGTTTCCGGAGGGTCTTGAGAGGTGCTTGTGATGGCGAGGGGCTCTTGGACAACCACATGAATGTCGCACAAGAGAGCGAATGCTTGAAGCATTTGATTCTCACCGATGTGAGTTTGAAAGGTAGGTCCTTTCAACATTTGCTTGCGGACGCTCAATTTGCCAGTAGATGCAGTGCAGGCTTTGGGTTTGACCTTTATAGATTGCTTCTGATTGGTTTATAGCTGTAGCATGTTTGATTTTTTTGTCTAGCACTCACAAAGTCAGGATGAGGAGCAGAATCGTTTTGCCAAGTTCATTGAGGCTTCGACTGAGGAATTTGGTGTTGCGGACTCCAAAGATGCTGCGTGTCCATTGTGTTTCAGGGTTTCTTTGCTGGGATCAGCTGGCATACGCGTTGGTGCAGATATCTACCATGTGCCGGTTCCAGGCAAGGTTGGCAGAGTGTGTGTTGTTGTCATTTGTTCGTCGTTTGAGGCATGAGCCTTGTCGTTGTAGTCATGGCGGTGGTGGTGGTGGGTGGTTGTTTCCAGCACATGTTCTCAAATTCCAGATTCGCAACTTTAACAAAAAGTAATTGACAACCAATGGCCTGTACTCGGCTTGATGGTGTCCGCTCCAGGTCTCTTTGGTGCCGAAGAGCCGTACCACATCATCGCTTTCAAAGAAGATCCCGAATCACGTCCTCATCCCGATGCTGAAGAAGATGCAGTGCCGGCAGTCCTGTTGAACAATGCTGCGAGGCAGAATCAGGTGAAAGTGGTAACCCAAGACTCAAAGTCCATGCTATCTGCAAGTAGTGGACACAGTTCTTGTTTCGATGCTTGTGTGGAGTTGCAACAGATGACTTTGCTCGTGGATGTCGATACAGAGCTTCATGATGTGGAGAAAGCACACCTGAACTTTGCACGTCCCGATGAGCAGGCTGAGCAAACGGCAGATCCACCGTCAGCTTTGCAATCGAACATGCCCTGCTTGCGGAAGCTCGTGAAGCCCACGGATTGGGAGAAGGTCCGTTCCAGCGTGGTAAGATATGTGGACAAGGCTTTACGAGATCCCACGATCCCCCCCCAGACCTTGAGCAAGATGACTGTGAAGCTCCCCGGTCATGGTGGATGGCTTCTGGTAGAAGAAGCTACTGTCCACCAAATTCCAGGGTCCAAGAAGATCTGGCTGCTCTTGAACGGGTTCCGACCAGAGAAAGCTCGACTTGTGCCTTCGTTGGACGGAATTTCGGAGGGAATTCGAGTGCACCAGAGGCCTTCTGAAGTGCTAGGCCGCTGATGCCAGCAGCGGTCGTTGTAACGTTGCCTTCAAATTCAAGGGTCAAGCTTGAACAGAGCTCGTTTATCTTTTAATTATCCCTCTTGTATGGTTGTACTTATTGCTATGATTGTTGCAGCCATGCTGAGTTCATTTCAAGATTCCATCAGGTTGATTGGAGGGCAACTTGATTATTCAGCTCCTGGGATCAGGCTTGTAGCCAATTTGGCTGCCTGCAATTTTTTGTCCATCAATGACTGCTTCAAAGCAGGGTAGATGACAAATATCGAACCGCTTTATGCCTTCTTCCAGACCATAAGAGGGATGATCCACACTAGGGGACACAGCTTGTTTCACACGTTGTGTGACTTACATCAGGGGGTTCGTTGGGTATGGAGAAGGGGAAGGTCATCAAAGCTCATCAAAGCTTCAATGAGTGTGGCAAAGATCTTTCTATTCCTCAACAAGTCCACCTACTTGTTGCATTTTGTGTTTTGATGGGGCAACCTGATTTGTTGTGATGTAGTATTGGCATCCGGTGGATGTTGTCCAAGACTTTGTTTTCTGTTTTGTCGGCATTTTGGGGGCATGAACTCTTTGTCAAGCAATACTGTACTTGTAGCATGTAATGCCGTCGGTGTTCAAGGCTCATCCAGATCGCCAAAGTTCGATCTGTTTGGATCAAAGAGAAACAGAAGAGAAATGAACTGATAAGAGAAATGAACTGATAAGAGAAATGAACAAACAATATGTTAGTTGGAAGAGACGACAACGACGACTACGACGGCGACGATGATCACTAGTACTACTACTACTACTACTACTACTACTACTACTACTACTACTACTA